CTTTAAGAAGATGGGCATGGATGATGTCTGACCAAGTAGTGACAAGTTAAATGCGGGAGAAAGGACCTATTCTTCTGTTCCCTCCATGCCTAACAATAGGAATTGCGAGGCATTCTTGTTTTCCTTGTTACATGAAGGCAAATGAATCACACAGATGCATGCCAGGGGCATCCTTCTCTAGGATTCTCCGGTGTTCTAGGTCTGTGTAGGCAAAGAGTCTGTGAGTGCGATAGGGCTTTGGGTATCTGAGAAACTGTCTGAAGAGTCCCCTCCCCCTGAAATTCATGCTATATGCCATTGCACTTGCTTCTTCTCAAAAAAGTATATTATTAGTTGTGCTCATGGAGATGAAAATCTCCTCTACTAGGAAATCAATTTAAGGAAAATTAAGGTCAGGCTGGTAATAAGCAGCCCATGAGCTAGACGTAATTTGCAAGGATAAGCCCTTGGTGTTATAGACACTTGCTGCTCCTGTTGGCCGTGGATCACGTTTCTGGGCCAATGGAAGCTGCAAGTGGCTGTACTGGTGGACATGCAGGTAAATAAAGCATCTGGTGGCCCACCGGGGCTAATCCTGGTGAACCCACGTCCGGCCTATGGGCCACTTATTGCCCATGCCTGGAGTAGGTTCTTCCCTGGCCTTCCTCATAGGAGAATGTTATTGTATGTATTCCCTTATTCATGGGCTGGTAGTGTATATAACCTTGTCTGGTTTTGATCGATGCTAAAATGAAAGCCTAACATTTCTTGTAACTTTTTTTTTTTAAATTCTTCAGGCTTTTTAATCAAACTGCCTAAGTGTTTTGTAAAACGGCTCCCACTTTATTAATCATATTGCATGTTGTGGCAAGTAGTTAGGATTCCTCCTATCTCTCTCCCTTTGAAATGTACGAGAGTTGTGGGGGGCTCCTATACGTTTCAAAGGGAGAGTCAAGGCTGAGTCTCTCCCTTTGAAATGTACAGGTGCCAGGGGCAGCTCTTGTCTATTTCAAAGGGAGAGAGGCAGCAGGGATAGCGAGCGCCCTCTTATCGACTAATCGAGTAGTCGATGGAAATTCCATTGACTACTTGATTAGCTCATTAATCAGAATTTAACATCCCTACTTCAGGCAGGGCTGGGGGCTCCTTCCCTTAGCCAGGGCTTTACCCACTGCCCATGGCCTTGCCCCTTATGTGCCTCCTGGAACTCAGAGCTCGCACCTCATAGCCGCCTCCCACCCCAAGGTAGCTAGTACCTGCACCCGCCCCAGTCCCGGAGCACCAGGAGGGAGAGCATGTGGCACCACCACTGAAGCACTGAGAAGAATATATAGTGGTGCTGCGGCAGCATCCCTGATCCCGGAAGGCAGGCAGAGGTGAGTCCACCCCCTAGAACTCAGTAGCACAGCTGAAGCAGGGGTGTAAGTGTGGAGCGTGGGTGAGGCCATCCCTGGCTGTTTGGGGAGGCATTTGCCTCTCCCAGCCTCCCTGACTCACCACCCACATCAGTTACGAAAGTAAAAAGAAAGAAAAAATTGCTTGCACCTCTATCATTACATTTTAAGCACTGATGCAAATACATTCCTGCCTGGCCAGCGCACGTGTGGGTTGTACTTTGCGCCTAAATGTGAAAGACATTTCCAGTTATCATCTGTTGTCTGCACCTTGTTGTCCAGTGGCCCCTGTAGTCTTCAAAACATTCTGCTTGTTTTGTTGGCTGGCAAAAATTGCAAAGAGCAATCTGTTGTACAGTTGGCCGTGTGTTAAAAAATAAAGGAAAACCAGTGTTTACTCATTGCAGTCCTTACATTTACTGAAGCATTTGCAATAATTTCTGTTCCTTTATTTATTTTATTATGTTTTTATAAGTAAAATAAGTTTAATATAAAATGGGCACATGTGATTGTGAATGAATAAAAGTAATGAAAGCATTGTTCAGTTTTCCTCCTGTTACTAACAAACCAGCAGCAATTAAAAAACAAAAAGCAAAAAACCCTAGGAAAAATAAATTCAATATGTGTCATCTGATCTCTACAGTTAATCTCAGAAAGGGGATATTAACTATTCAAATGCACTTTAGAAACCATTTTGTATTTCCCAATGAGAAAAACTGGTTTTCAATAGGACAAGATAGTGGGACAAGATGAGACAAAATCTAGCGTTGGTCTTCTTGCAAACCTAAATTTCTGATGTTGCAATTTATGTGTTGTTGCCATCCCACAAAGTCGATCAAACTAGTCCTATGATGATTAAAGTTAAACATATGCCTAAGTGCTTTGTTGGATCAGAGCCAGGGTACTCAGCATTTTGTAGGATTAAACCATAAGATCTGTTTGGTTGCAAAGAAAAGCAATGTATGAGGAGACTAACTCAGCAGAAAGATGGAGAATTGTGGTTTTTATTTTATTTTGGAGAGGAGGGGATAAATAAGTGACTGGTTAATCACCAAGATTGTCACTGAAAACTCATCATTTCAGCTCTTGGCTCTTGCACACCTTGAAATAGGAGATGGTTGCTTTCTGTTGAGATTGGAAGATGATCATTCTCTCCTTGAAAAAGGCACTCAGTAATAAGAGCTGCAGCTGACTGATAGTTCTTCTATTCTCACTAGCATTTAAATAACAATCTCTAATGTTCCAGCATAACTAAAGTCTGATCCAAGAGATCCAAGTATTATTTTGGATGCATAATCCCTTATTACTCATAATCCCATTTGGCTTTCATTCATGTTACCCTTCCACAGTTAAGCTTTCTTTAATACACTGTAATTTCATTATTTCATGAGACAAAGTAGAACAAAAGTTCTGGATTTTGCTTTGAAATTGAAATGTTGCAGGAGAAGACTGCTTCTTTCTTATGTGAAAAATCCGTTAAACTACATTTACGGAAAACTGGCTGCTCTCTAAAAAAGAATAAAATAAAAAATAAACCCCCAGATCATTGGCATTGCTTTACATGGGAAGCTTTTCACATTGCTCGGCTTGTTCACAAGCAGATGTAAACCTCAGGTACTCAGAATATTGATAATTAGGTGGGAATATTGAAAGGAGAAATCATTTTGTGTGTGTTTTTCAAACCTCAGTCTGTACAGCATAACATTAAGGGAGCTTTGCCTTAACTTGTGTGAGATTTCCTCTTACTCTCCCCCTCTCCTACCCCGCCCCCCGCCCAATATGGCAGGCAATTGCTTAGAGATCTTGATGGCAACATCACTTGGCAAACATTTTGGACTCTGCTCAACATGTGACATCACACTCCTTTAGGGTTTTCCACATAAAATGAGCTCTCCAAAGAAAACACAGAAATTGGGACATAATCTGAAATCTAGTATTACATCCTCTAAGGTCTAATTAGTCACCTCAGTAATTCCACCCTGCTCCATCTGCAGATATTACTAAATGCAGCAGATAATAGTGTAAATCTTTTACAATATTATTATTATTATTTATTTATTCCTTAAGGTTCTTAGTTGTATATTTCCCTCCCCCCCCTCTAATTTTACAAGGATT